GGAGCCATGACCACATGGCTCCGCTCGCCTCGCACGTGATCCAGGGGTTCCGAGCAAACCTCCAGAAGAAGTCGCAACGCCTACAGACTTTTGGCTTTGATTCTTACTTCTCGGCCTACATTGCCGTGACCAGGCACATGAACCATCAGCTCAAGGCGAACCTGGCAGCAACCTGGTCTTCCCATTGGGACCATGTCATGGTACCCTTCCTCGAAGATGCCCTACACCGCAACCTTGCAAGTCCGGACATCACCCCAGCATCCTTGGAAGACGCCCGAGCCCACCTGCACAAACAGTTTGGTTTCCACTTGGGCGTCGCCGCCCTGGCCCGAATGTTGGACGCTTCGACGAGCAATTTTACTGGACTCGCTGAGTTCGATGAGTGGGTGCAGGCGGTTGATTGCATGTTTCAGCACGAACCGCTTGAATACACCATGCTGACCAAGCTCCAGATGTTGTGCAAGCTCCAGCGCCAGTGCACTTGCAGCCGACTGGTGGAGCGTCTCGCCACTGCGGCACACCAGGCTACATCTGGTCCAGCGACCACGTTGACTAGAATCGTGAAAAAAGCTCTCGATGGTTACGTCCCGACTCGTGATACTCTGTTCAGCGTGCCAAGCAACCGGACGGCGCACAAGGGGCCGACGATCCACTCGGTCACCGGACCCAAGGCAGCTATTAAGCAGGCCGCCAGCTCTCCCAGCCGTCCACCGCTCCGCATTCCAGCTCAGCTCCGCAATTCCGAAGAGTTCACCAAGCTCAACAAAAGCGACAAGCAAGCTCGCCACACCTTTGCTCGAAAGCATCATCTCTGCTACCACTGCTTCGCCGATGAACACCAGAGCAAGGCGTGCCCAAAAAACTAGGGCCCGGGGTCGGGGAACCTGCATCCTCTACTTCCCCGGACCCCAACCCAGAGGGCGTGCCATCGCAGGCAGCACGTACCTCAGCCACAGATTCACTCCCACCTCGTGAGGAGCCTCGACCTGTGGTTATCAATTCGGTTTCTGTTTTATCGCCGCGCCAGGACCCTGGCCCCTTGATGTCTGTGGGTGCTATTGGGTCGACGGCGGTGACGTTCCTCTTTGACACTGGCTGTGACCGCTCTTTGCTATCGGCACAACTGGCATCCTCCTTATCCCTTCCAACGCGCAACGGACCACCTTTTGATGTTATCTTCGGCAACGGCACACGTATACCTGTCGAGACTTACACCGAGGTGTCCTTACAGCTTGGTCCCCTGACTGTTACCCGTTCCTTTCCGGTGGTGGCTCTCTTCGACGCCGCCGACGTTCTTCTGGGCCGCGATTTCCTCAGCGAGCACGACATTGTTATTTCTGCTCGCCAACGGACCGCGACCTTTCCAGGCGCTGTACAGCTGCCTTTCATCGAGCCGCCAACACCTATTGGCCTCCGTTCACTCCTTCGGCAGAAGTCTGCTGCCGCCTATCTCGTCTGGTCTCTACG